AATGTCAAATATTTGAACAATGAAAATGCACAAGGAATTCCTTAATAACTTCTTGTTGAGAAATTGTATTTTGCAAGATTCACGATTCTTAACGTAATATTTTTTTTCAAAAAGCTATACAAATAGATATGTTCTATTGTGATTGATGCAATCAAAAGTTAATACCTTATTAGCCTGATAATGAATAAACTCGATATGTATGTGATTATAACTATTAATGGTATATGTACACAGAGTGAATTGTTTCAAAAATCACTGAACTTATACTATCGTCACGGACTGCTCACCGAACTTCATTCTACTTCACAGTACTCACTCAACTTTATCATTTACCTCTCCATTTACCACTGTCAAAAAATCCGTTTGTTGGGTGCTAACGTGACGGACGGAATTCCTAGGTGACATCTGACGGTCGTTAAAAAATTATAAATCAGCAAAAATATTGTTTCATCACCCCTCCAACTTACTCTAGGTCACAGTTTACTCATCGAACTTCAAAATGCTTTCCAATAGTCATTCATCTTTGAGAATTGCACTCCATCCATTATTCGTCATATTTTATTCACTTCGTTGCTAATTTATTGTCCGAAAATTTCACGGGTAATTAAAATCATTAAAAAAATTATAACTCAATCAAACCATCAACACATGGAAATCACCATATGATCAATTGAATACAACTAGAAGTAAAATTGGTGAAATATAGACAATATATTTTCACAAATCAAGTTAAGTTTTCGATTTTCAGATTTAGATTGAAACCTATTTTTCACACAATAAACGTTCGAATTATAAAAATGATATTTCTAAAGAATAATTAAGGATGCTTTATTAGATTTTTAAAAAGTTATGAGGCCATGGAAGTCATGTTTCACACATGGCAATTTCAGTAAATTGATAGTTTCATTAAGTTGTGATTTTTCTAATATTTGTAACTTATTATGTGGATTTTCTATGCGAACATTAGAAACGAAGTGAACGAAATATGACGGATAATGAATAGAGTGCAATATCTCAAAGATGAGTGACCGTTGGGAAGTATTTTGAAGTTCGATGAGTAAACTGTGACTTAGAGTAAGTTGGATGAGTGATAAAACAATGTTTTTGCTGATTTGTAATTTTTTAACAGCCGTCAGACGCTATCTAAGAATTCCGTCCGCCGTGTCAGCACCCAACAAACGGATTTTTGGACAGTGGTGGATGGAGAGGTAAATGGCAAAGTTGAGTGAGTACTGTGAAGAAGAATGAAGTTCAGTGAACAATCCGTGACGATGGTATAAGTTCAGTGATTTTTGAAACAATTCAATCATGTACACACATCTTGGAGGATTAAATATGTTGAAGTATATAATTCAAGTTTTTGCAAAGCTTATTTGATCAAATTACAAAGATACTCTACAATTTGAAATTATACAATATAATTATTTTAGTGAATATTTGTTGAAAATAGGTACAAGAATTGTCATGTATGCTCATGTGTAACAATATATGAATGTGTCATTTTGTTCTCTCTTTTCTCAATAAAATACACGAGTTTGATTCTTTTTTAATTATCTTATATTGTTCTTCCTTTTCTCTTAGTTTTATAACATAAAATGCGACCATTTTTTTTCCCAAAAAGTGTCTATAATAATCAGATATATCATGGGTCACTAAAATATGAGATATTTTTTCCCTCTCAGTATAGGATATATTTTAGGAAAATGTTTGTTGTACATTACCATTTACATAATCTTTTGTAAATTGATGATGAGTCAAGAAGATAGTGAGAGAGTTTATTTTATTTTATTTGGTTGATGTGACTTTGACCCAATCAAATCTCATAACATCATCTGTTGATAAACAAGGATTTGGCTTCTTGTACAGTCCTCATTCACAGCTTTTTTCACAATTTTTCAAATTATCTAACTTGGCAATGCAAAGTGTTAAAAATCCGGCCCCCAAAAAAAAAAAGAACCCGGCCCAATGTGCTAATTTGTCTGGACTCACTCGTATCTAACCTAATCTATCCGTCTCTCCCGCTCATGGCAAGATGGTTTTTATATTTTAATTGAATATGATTATAAATGTCTTTTATATAAAAATCTTACTTTTAAGTAATCAATGAGTCGAATTTGTCCATCGAGTATGATCTTGCTTAACAGCAATAGAGGAAAAAAAAAGTTGATCACCAATTTGTTACATTTTTGAGAGGGTTAGATACCACTCGTGCAATTTTTTTCCTAATTGATATTGATATTGACATTTGAGTCATTTACAAGTAAAAATTAAACTCAGCAATAACTTTCTCACCATCAAAATAAAATAAATTTCTTTTTTTTTTCCCTTAAATTTGAATCCAATCGTACGTATGGCTACGTGGCGGCATAAAAGTGGTAGTGAATAATAAAATTTGACCAACTGGTGACAGACATGTTGCCCACGGAAACTGCACAAAACTTTGGTCCCCCCAAATAATGACTCCTCACCCCTATCCCAAACGACAACTTGTCGTTAAATTTTAACGCCGTCAACATCTTCGATGTGCAGGTGGATTATAGCCTCCTGTTAATTTTCCTCCAATTTTCTACATTGCTAATTAATAACCATTGCGCATGTACATATTTATTCATCAATGCATGATACGACGAAATTTAATTGATAAAAATATCATCAATCACATAAAAAGATAAAATTCTCACTTTCTTTTTGATATTTCATCAATCCGTAAAAGATTATATAAATAGTGATATACAACAAATTTTTTTCAATTAATAATTTCAGTTAAAAACATCCTTAGAGCATGTTTGGCTAAGTTTAAAATTCAATTAAAATTGAAAATATAGTCATTGTTGGGTCCCACTCGTTTAATAAAAATCAACAATAACAACTAATTTTTCAATTTTAATCCGATTTTAATCAGTACAGGCCATGCCCTTAATACAAAATCACTATGATATCATAAATAGGCTAATAGCGTTAAAAGGATATTTTATAAAGAATGTTGTTGTACAATAAAATATAGGATAAATTTCTTTGGGCATCCTCAACCTTTTTGTTTCTGACAATCTCATGTCCCCAACATTTTAAAATTGTTAGCTTGATGTCTCCACCTCGAAGAAAATCATCTACTTCGACAGTAAAAGGGTATGCAGTAGGAACGTGATCAATGACTAATGTATATAATAGTTCAAAGTAATTTTCCTCAATTAGTTGAGAAGGTTAGTTGCTAAAACTCGACTATCTTGAAATTGTAGCGAGCAATCAAAAACGTCGCCAAAGTATAGTGAGCAATTAAGGACTTATTTCTCCATGATTGGACATCGATTCAGTAATTGGGTGTCGGCTATGCAATTAGTTTGCCTTGTCAGTTATTTCGTTACAGTTGCAAAATAAAAGTCATCCCAGTGAGTAAGATCCAACATTTCGAGAAGCTTAATGTCCAAAGCCCGACATTTGTAAGAAGACACCAACCTTAATTTAGTGATTATTGAGATAATTAACTGTATTATTTAAAATTTTAAAAAATATGAATAATTTTAATTTTTTTAGTACTAGCCTTAGCCATAAAGCAAAAGCTAACTTCGTAAAGTTAGAAATACAAAAATTACCCGACAATGTAATATAAATTTAAACATATTCCTTCATTAAAGTCTAGTGTAGTGAGATTATAACGAAATGGCGTGGACCAATTGGTTACTAAACAATAGCTTGAGGAGCAGCCGTGCAATTTTCCATATAAGGCATTTTCCAGGCATGGAAGGGAAGGAACCGGATCCTGCAAAAAGACATTTCAAATACGACAATAACCAAAGACTAACGGAACATTTAAACAACGTTAAGACGTGGGTCCCACGCGAGACCCGGTCTAGTCAGACACTGCAAAATTAATCAATCCTGGCGGCCATTTTCTTTCATTTTCTCTCTCCTCTGTCACGCGTAGGTTCGGTGCAAACTCTTCCACACAACTTCCTCTTCTTTTCTCTTCTCAATTAAATCGATCATCCAACTTTATATTTTGTATTATATGATCACTTAATTTGATTTTGTTTCTCTATGACCACCCAACTTTATATTTAGTATCACCATGACATCAATATAATTTTGGAGTGTTTGAGCACCATTTTCTTTTAAAAATGTATTTTGAAATTGTATATTGATAGAGAATGGTGTAGTTAAAAAAAGTTTTTAATTTAGAAGGGAGAAAAAAATATATTTTGAAAAAAATAGGAATCAAACAAGACCTTTATTTCACCACGACCACCAATTTCATATGACGTTTCACTACGATCATCCAATTTCATATGACGTTTCACTACGATCATCCAATTTCATATGACGTTTCACTACTATCATCCAATTTCTTTTCACAATTTTCAGTAATTTTCAAAGGAGTAAAACTGTAATTTTGTATTATATATAATAAAATAAAATAAAAGCTTATTTTAAAAAATAAACAAAAACTTATTTAAAAGACGTTACTTAAAAAATAAAATAATTTTTTTTCTAAAGTTATTTAGAAAAATAAAATAAAATAAATAATATACGAATTTTCCATTTTATCCTTTTTAAAATTAGTGAAAATGGTTAAAAGAAGTTGAGTGATTATGATGACATTAAATATAAAATTGGATGATGATAATGAAATAAGATTAAATTGAGTGATCATGATGACACTAAATATAAAGTTGGGTGCCATAAGTGAATTTGCCCCCACTCCTCTTTATTTCTCTCTATATATTCTCCCATTTCCGTTCACCCATTTCTGACATATATACTTACATATTACATACGCCATATTTATCAGAACAAGTGTTCTGATCTAAAATCTTGAAAGAATTTAGAAGAAAAGTGTTGTATAGATCAATCCCCCTTTTCAGCTTGAAGTTTTTTAACCTGGGATTGCTTTTTTCTGTTTGTTTTCTCCTTTTTTAGCTGATTTCTGTTGATGTTGTGACAATAGGTCAAGGCGTAAAGATAATTTATTTTAGGTGAAGTTTTCTTGATTTTTAAGGTGAAAAATGGGCACAGAGGTTTTGAGACCACAAGATTGTTTAGGAGATAGGTTCCGGGTGTCTCCGGCAGCGTTTCATCGCCGGAAAAACACGAAACACGGCGAAGCTAGTTACTGGAAGCCGGTTTACAGATCTGAAAGGTCGGATCAGAATCAGAAGAAGAAATTCAACAACCAACATGAGAATTCCATATCCAAGAGATCATCAAGCGCCGATGCGTTGAAACCCAGGAATAACAACAGGCCTGTTATGGGGCAGGTAACCATTTTGAGAAGAGGGGAATCATTGGATTCTCTTTATCCGAAAATTAACAACAGTAACAAAAAATTGGGTTCTACAAAGCAGAGTCCAGTTGACGATATGGTGGTTTGTGGGACCGGAAGAATTGGTCCTGAAACCCCAGAAAAGGTGCCGAAACAGATCCGGATGGTGGCGCAGCCGGCGGCGGCCGGAAGGGGTGGTGCGGATATTTACGCCGGATCGGCTTTTTCCATGTCTCCTTCTCCTAGATCTTTGCCTGTGCCTTCTTTCTTCAACAACAAGAGACAAGATTGTGCACGCAAAGTGTTTGACGATTCGGCTACAAGAGATTTGAGGCGATTGCTTCGTCTTGAATGAAGAATTCAGTTTTAGTTCTTGTTATTGGCTTTTTGGATTCTTATTTCTCGGATCTGGGATTCATTCTGTGAATTTTTTAACTGTGGATGAATCTTGTGATCGAGAATTGAGATGAAAAAAGCTTTAGTGTTCATGTATTTAGCTCTTATATATTATGATGATGATGTAATTCATGTATTTAGATCAGGCGCGGCGGTGGAGGCTGTGGTAATGGTGGTGGTGGTGTGGGATTAAGCTGTATGGTGAAGGAAAAATATTAATAATATCGTTTTAGGAAGTTCATGTGCAAGGTTTGATTATCTTCTCTTTTCATCTTTGTGTTGTTTATGCTTTACCATCTAATTGTGAATATGAAAGTCAAACATGAACCTCTTCTTGTGTTATTTTATAAATTGTTGGTAAAAGAAATAATTTTAAAATTGTATTTTAAATTAAAAATATAAGATAGAACTTTCACGCGAGGATTGAGTAGTAGTCATCTAAAGAGGGAGGGCAATGGTAGGGCTGTCTATAAAATCCGTGACACCAACCCGACCAGTCAAATTGTTTCGACTCGGGTCTATTTTTGAACCATTCGGTTAGGTTTTCGGGTTAGATTTCATCAAAGCGAGGTCTTTTACAAAGAATGCTGAATTTAAAAGTAGTCGTTACGCAATTAAAGATTAATCCATGGATAGTAGGAGACGGGGGAAAACCCGGGGTGCGGTTTTCGGGTTAGAATTTCATCAAAGCTAGGTCTTTTACAAAGAATGCTGAATTCAAAAGTAGTAGTTACACAATTAAAGATGAATCCATGGATGGTAGGATACAAGAAAAACCCGGGGGGAGGGGGGGGGGGGGGGG